GTTGAATTTGTCGGGGCCTTTTTTGTCTGGAAGAAGGGCAGACAGAAGATGGGAATGATTGCAGATGCACGCCCCGCTAACCAGCGCTTCCTTCCTCCACCACGAGTGGGCCCGTTGACGGCGGAGGGCTTGTCACGCCTTGAGGTCGTCGTCGATGACGACCCATGCCTGCTGAAGGACTCGAGCTGGGGTATCCTGCGGGCGCTCCGCCTGTGTCTCGGGGTCGGGGTATGAGGCCCCGCCCCCCTGTGCCCTGTCTCCCTAGTTAAAGCTGTGCGTGGCCCGCCTAGCTTTTAGCGGGAGAGGTTCGCTCTCGCCCCGAAGATAAAACAATTGTGTCTCTGGGTCGGTGACGTCGAGAACTGCTTCCACAGGATGGTGATGCCGACCTGGATGAGCCCTTGCTACGCCTGTCCAGTCAGTTGCGTGTAGACTCCGTGGAGACCGCCGAGGGCCGCGTGGCAAACGGCGAGGGCGCGGTCTTCCCCTGCTGCAGAGCCCATCCCACGGGGTGTTCCTGGTCGCTCTACTTCTGCCAGAACGCCAACGCCAATCTGGCGCGGCAGCGCGACCTCTTGCGGGGGGCCAGGCTGGCCACCGACCGCGGTGAACCCATGGCGTTCTGTCTGGGGGGCGGCCGCGAGCAGGGCCTTCGGCGCCACGTGCACGTTGACAACCTGGGAGTGCTTGGGCAAGTCCTGGCGGCAGTCAGGGGGGCGCTGGACGAGAAGGTTGCAGCGTTCAACAAGCTGAGGCTCGACGTCCACGAGGTCGAGATCTTCGAGTCGAAGGGCGCGGCCATCTCCGGCAAGCGGCGCTGCCGTCTCGAGAGGTCCCTGGCCTACGTCCTGCAGCGTGGCAGGCTTTCTGCCTGGGGCCTGGGGCGCTTCCAGGGCCACTGCGCCTGCGCCGGCTAGGCGAGGCGCGGGGTGCTCAGCGGCTTCTCAGCCAGCTGCGCGTTCATCAAGGCGAACTCTTGGGAGTGGCAGGAGATGTGGACCTCCGTGCGCGAGGGGCTCAGCTCTTTCCGGGGTCCCCTGGTCTTCCTCGGCAGCGATTGGGCGCTCCCCTGGAACCGTTGCGACGCCGCCCCCGACGCATCCGAGAGCGGCTTCGGCGCGACTTCCATCATGACCCCAGGGAGGTCGCCCGAGTGGGGCGCGTCGCCGAGCGGAGCCGCCCCCGCCTCAACATGGAGCTGGCTCCGCGGCAGCGTGCGATGCAGCGCGCCGGCTACGTCGAGGATTGGGGGCGCTGGGCCCCGGCGCCCGGCTGCGCCCGAGGAGGCTTCTGCAGGCGCCTGGTCGCTCGACGAAGGCTTCGAGGAGGTGCCTGCTGGGTGGCTCGACCAGGCGCGCTGGGGCCTCTGTCGCGGCGGGGGGGCCTGGGCCCGGGCGGGGGGCATCGCCATTTTGGAGGCCCGCGCTGTCCTGGCCGCTGTGCGTCGCCCCGCCCGGACGCGGCGGGGTCACGACATCGGGCGCGTGCATCTATGCGATAACATGGGAGCGGTGCTGTCGATCTGCCGATGCCGATCAAAAGAGCATTTTATGTTGGCGGTCATCAGACGCATCAGAGCCTACCTCCTTGCTCGCGACATTCGTCTTGTTCTTCGGTGGATCCCGAGAGAACTCAACAGTGCAGACGAGGCCTCACGGATTTGTGATGACAATGCTTCCTGCTCCCTGCCTTGGCGCATCCCATCTTATATTTCGCGCCCGAGTGCACCGGCCTCTAAGGGCCCCCAAGAGGAACATGTCATTAGCAAGCAAGCTTCAGAACCACAGCAGCATCACGATTCCAATTCTGTCCAGAGAGTCTCGCGGACAAGAACCTCTAGCCAACAGTCATCGTCTAGCGGGAAATCATGACCAACATGATCAGTATGAACGGCATGACAGACACGAGCAGCATAATCATCATGAACAGCATGGTATACGCGAACCGCATGATAGACATGAACAGCATGGTCAGCATGAGCAGCATGAGCAGCATGTACAGCATGTACAGCATGACCAGCAGAAGGGAGGAGGAGGCCGCTCTAGGGTTTTATTGGGCCATTCTTGCGGTCTTGGAGGCATCTTGGGACTGTCGTGGAAACCATTTTGGGGCGATGCTTGGGCTTGTTGGGGCCATCTCGGGAGGCCTCCTTGGCCTTTTTGTGTGACGGCGCTGAAATTTAGCATTTGCACAAACTTGGTGGGGTGACGGACTGCATTGTTTACTCGGTGACCAGAAAGTAGCATGAGGAAATAATCGGAGCCACTCGGTGGAGGCAGTGTCCGGTGCATTTTGAGCGTTGTTGGAGGCGGAGCTTGACCAAGCCATCGGACCATGTATTCCCCGAGTCTCGCCTCGACACCTTCGGGGAACACTTGGGGGGAAACAGAGACGGAGAAGGAGAGGGGGGAAACAGCAGGAGGGAACGGGACATGTTTGAAAGTTTCTTGGGGGACTTTTGGGTTCTGGGTGTTTTGTTGGAACTTCCTGTGGACCTTTTGAATGCTTCTCGGGAGGCCTCCTTGGCCTTTTTGGGGGCTTCCGGGTGCTCTTTGAGGGAGTCTTTGGTCGTCTTAGAGCGTTCCTGGCCCATTTGACGCCGTCCGACACCGTCTTTGAGGCCTCCCGGAGCCGATTTCAGGCCGTCATGGGCCGTGTCAGGGCGGTTTTCGAGGCAGCGTAGGCGTCTTGGAGGCCTCTTCGGCCGTCGGGGCCCTCTTGGGCCTTCTTGGGGGCTTCTTGAGCTGTCATGGGGACATCTTGAAGGGCTCCTGGGCGATCTTGGCGTCTTGGAAGCTTCTTGGGCGAACTGGAGGCATCTTGGACTTTCGGGCCGTCTTGGAGGCCATCTTGGACCATCTTGGGCGGACTTGGAGGCCTTTTTGGAGGCCATCTTGAGCCGTCTTAGGGGATTCCTCCGGGATTGAGCTCCTGGAGCTCCCTTTCGGGTGGCCGGCGGGACGGGCCGCCGGGGGGGGTTCTTGTGGAAAAAATTAAAACCCAAAACGGAAGGTCCGTAACAATTTTGCCAACAGCCCTGGTGGTTTGCCCAAGACCATCCTTGCTCGTGAGAGAGAACCACTGTTTCTCGCTCTCCCTCCTTCAATCTCGGTGCCCCACTTTTTCTCGATAATCCCTCTCTCTGTCTCTGTCTCTCTTCTCTCTCTCTCTCTCTATCTCTTTTTCTCTCTTTCTCTCTTTCTCTCTTTCTTTATTTCTCTCTCTCTCTCTCTCTCTCTCTCTACATATATATATATATATATATATATATGTATACCTCACTCTCTCTATGTATATATATATATATCTCTCTCTCGTCCTCCTCCTTCTCCCGTTCCTCCTCCTCCTGGGGGCTCAGAAGACTTGGCCAGGCGTTGGTTGTTCTGGTTGTTCTGGTCTGGGAGCTCAGAAAACTTGGCCAGGCGTTTTTTGTTGTTTTGTTTTTTTTGTCTGGGAGCTTAGAAAACTTGGCCAGGCGTTTGTTTATACTGTTTTTCTGGTTTGGGAGCCCACGAAACCTAGCCTGGAGGTTGGGGGCTTGCCAACTGATGCCGTCAGACCAGAAACACACACACACACACACAAAAAAACACGCCTGGCCGGGTTTTGTGAGCCCTCAGACCAAACGAACCAGAAAAACCAACGCTTGGCCAGGTTCGGTGAGCCCCCAAACCAGAAAAACCAGAAACCCCAACGCCTGGCCAGGTTTCGCGAGCCCCCCAGACCAGAACAACCAGGACAAAACAACGCCAGGTCGTGATGTTTCCCAAAGGATTATGTCCAAATGATTTTTTTTGTCGTGTGAAGCTTTCCGCTAGAATTCCTTTATGGTGTTTTCCAAAGGATTCCTTTTGTTATGTTTTCACATATAATCCTTTTGTGAGGCTTTCCAAAGGATTCCTTTTTTTTGTAAGCTTTCCAATGTAATTCCCAACCCTCCTGCGTTGGGTTCCCGTTTTGAATGGAGCACTGCTCGCGCGAACCTTCCTTCCCACCCCCCCCCGTCCCTCTCTTCCCCCCTGCCTTCGCTCGTCGCTGCGTGCCAGCTTGGGGGCTGCGATCTGTGAAACTGTCGCCACTTTCGAGGCCTGCTGGGGGGCCCAGCACAGTGGGTACCCACGGTGGATTCAGATTAGACCTTGCCATCCCTGGGGGGCTGCGATCTGTGAAACTGTCGCCACTTTCGAGGCCTGCTGGCGGGCCCAGCACAATGGGTACCCACGGCTGATTCAAATTTGACCTCGCCATCCCTGGGGGGGGCTGCGATCTGTGAAACTGTCGCCGCTGTCGAGGGCTGCTGGGGGGCCCAGCGCAGTGGGTACCCACGGCGGATTCAAATTTGACCTCGCCATCCCTGGGGGGCTGCGATCTGTGAGACCGTCGCAACTTTCGGGGCCTGCTGGGGGGCCCAGCACAGTGGGTACCCACGGCGGGTTCAAATGTGACCTCGCCACCCCTGGGGGGCTGCGATTTGTGAAACCGTCGCCACTTTCGAGGCCTGCTGGGGGGCCCAGCACAGTGGGTGCCCACGGCGGATTCAAATTTGACCTCGCCATCCCTGGGCGGCCGCGGTCTGTGAAACTGTCGCCACTTTAGAGGCCTGCTGGGGGGCCCAGCACAGTGGGTACACACAGCGGATTCGAATTAGACCTCGCCATCCCTGGCGGGCTGCGATTTGTGAAAGTGTCGCCACTTTCGAGGCCTGCTGGGGGGCCCAGCACAGTGGGTACCCACTGCGGAGTCAAATGGAGTCTCGCCGTCCCAGGGGGGCTGCGATCTGTGAAACTGTCGCCACTTTCGAGAGCTGTTGGGGGGCCCAGCACAGTGGGTACCCACGGCGGATTCAAATTTGACTTCGCCATCCCTGGGGGGCTGCGATCTGTGAAATTGTCGCCACTCGGGGGGCCTGCTGGGGGGCCCAGCACAGTGGGTACCCACGGCGGATTCAAATGTGACCTCGCCATCCCTGGGGGGCTGCGATCTGTGAAACTGTCGCCACTTTGGAGGCCTGCTGTGGGGCCCAGCACAGTGGGTACACACCGCGGATTCAAATTGTACCTCGCCATCCCTGGGGGGCTGCGATCTGCGAAACTATCGCCACTTTCGAGGCCTGCTGGGGGGGCCAGCACAGTGGGTACCCACGGCGGATTCAAATAGGACTTCGCCATCCCTGGCGGGCTGCGATTTGTAAAACTGTCGCCACTTTCGATGCCTGCTGGGGGGGCCAGCACAGTGGGTACCCACCGCGGCTTTAAATGTGACCTCGCCGTCCCTGGGGGGCTGCGATTTGTGAAACCGTCGCCACGTTCGAGGCCTGCTGGGGGGCCCAGCACAGTGGGCACCCACGGCGGATTCAAATGTGACCTCGCCATCCCTGGGGGGCTGCGATTTGTGAAACCGTTGCCACTTTCGAGGCCTGCTGGTGGGCCCAGCACAGTGGGTACCCACGGCTGGTTCAAATTTGACCTCGCCATCCCTGGGGGTCTGCGATCTGTGAAACTGTCGCCACTTTCGAGGCCTGCTGAGGGGCCAAGCACAGTGGGTAACACCGCGGATTCAAATTGTACTTCGCCATCCCTGGAGGGTGGCGACCTGCGAAACTACCGCCACTTTCGAGGCCTGCTGGGGGGGCCAGCACAGTGGGTACCCACGGCGGATTCAAATTTGACATCGCCGTCCTTGGGGGGTTGCGATCTGTGAAATTGTCGCCGCTTTCAAGGCCTGCTGGGGGGGGGGGGGGGGGGGGCAGCGCAGTGGGCACACACGGCGGCTTCAAATTTGACCTCGCCATCCCTGGGGGGCTGCGATCTGTGAAACGGTCGACGCTTTCGAGGCCTGCCGGGGGGCCCAGCGCAGTGGGTACACACCGCCGACTAAAATTAGACCTCGCCATCCATGGGGGGGCTGCGATCTGTGAAACTGTCGCCACTTTCGAGGCCTGCTGGGGGGCTCAACACAGTGGGTACCCACCGCGGACTGAAACTAGACCCCGCCATCCCTGGGGGGCGGCGATCTGTGAAACTGTCGCCACTTTCGAGGCCTGCTGGGGGGCCCAGCACAGTGGGCACACCCAGCGGATTCAGATTAGACCTTGCCATCCCTGGGGGGCTGCGATCTGTGAAACTGTCGCCACTTTCGGGGGCTGCTGAGGGGCACAGCACAGTTGATACCCACCGCGGACTCAAACTAGACATCGCCATCCCTGGGGGGCTGCGATTTGTGAAACTGTCGCCACTTTCGAGGCCTGCTGGGGGGGGGGGGGGGGGCAGCACAGTGGGTACCCACCGCCGAGTCAAATTGGACCTCGCCATCCCTGGGGGGCTGCGAACTGTGAAAACTGTTGCCAATTTCAAGGCCTGCTGGGGGGGGCCAGCACAGTGGGTAGTCACCGCGGATTCAAATTAGTCCTCGCCATCTTGGGGGGCTGCGATTTGTGAAACCGTCGCCACTTTCGAGGCCTGTTGGGGGGCCCAGCACAGTGGGTTTCCCGCGCGTCTTTCTCCAGCGTTTCGCTCCCGACTCCCCATGTCCTCTTCGAGCCTGTAGGTGTCGCCCTTCGTTCTTGTATGGCTCTCCTGCGCATCATGCCATAGGCGCGTTTCCCAAGTAGCTTACATATCAAACAACGGATCCTGCAATTTGATTGTCCATGCAAGTTTCGGCCAACCCCTCGTTTCCCATGATGCAAATGGGTTGGGTACGTCACATGGTAATTATTTTTATGAGGTTTCCAATCGAATCCTTTTGTATCGCTTTCCAAAGGGTTCTTTCTGTCAGGTTTTCCAATCGGATCCCTTTGTTGTGCTTTCCAAAGGATTCCTTTTGCGAGGCTTTCCAATATAATCCCTTTGTGGTGTTTCCAACGGATTCCTTTTGTGAGGCTTTCCAGTCGGATCCCTCTGCGGTGCTTCCCAAAGGATTCCTTGCGTGAGGCTTTCCAATCGAATCCCTTTTGTCAGACTTTCCAATCGAATCCTTTTGTGGTGCTTTCTAAAGGATTCCCTTTTTTGTTGCGAGGCTTTTCAATCTAATCCCTTTGTTGTGCTTTCCAACGGATTCGTTTTGTGAGGTTTTCCCATCGAGTCTCTTTGACGTGCTTTCAAAAGAATTATTTTTCCTTTTTTTTGTGAGGCTTTCCAATCGAATCCTTTTGTGTGCTTTCCACGGGGTTCTTTTTTTTTGTGAGGCTTTCCAATAGAATCCCCTTGTGGTGCTTCCCAAAGGATTCCTACTTTGAGGCTTTCCAGTCGAATCCCCTTGTAGTGTTTTCCAAGGGATTCCCTTTTCTATGAGGCTTTCCAATCGAATCCCCTTGTGGTGCTTTCCAAAGGATGCTTTTTGTGAGGTTTTCCTATGTAATCCATTGAGATGCAGAGGGGGAGGAGGAGGAGGAGGAGGAGGAGGAGGAGGAGGAGGAGGAGGAGGAGGAGCAGGAGGAGGAGGAGGAGGAGGAGAAAGAGAAGAGATAGAGAGAGAGAGAGAGAAAGCGAGAGAGAGAGAGAGAACGAAGAAAAGCGGAGGAGGAGGAGGAGGAGGAGGAAGAGGAGATATGTATGATCATGGGGGGGGGCGAGCTACCCCCCCACCCACGTGATCATACATATCTCCGCCTCGTCTTCATCCTCGTCCACTCTTCTTTGTTCTCTCTCTCTCTCGCTCTCTCTCTATTTCTCTCTCTCTCTTTTTTTTCTCTCTTTCTCTCTCTCTCTCTCTCCCTCTCTATATATATATATATATGTATATATATATATATGTATATGAATATATGTATATGTATATATATACATATAGATCTCTCTTGTCCTCCTCCTCCTCCTCCTCCGCCTCCTCCTCCTCCTCCGCCTCCTCTGCATCACAAAGGGATTCTACTGGAAAGCCTCACAAAAAAGGAATTATTTTGGAAGCACAAAAAAGAGATTCGATAGGAAAACCTCACAAAAAGGAATCCTTTGGAAAGTGCGACAAAGGGATTCTATTGGAAAGCCTCACAGCAGGAATCCTTTGGAAAGCACAACGAAAGTATTCTATTGGAAAGCCTCGCAAAAAAAATCCTTTGGAAAGCGCCACAAAGGGATTATTTTTAAAAGCCTCACACAAGGAATCCTTTGGAAAGCATCACCAAGGAATTCCAGTGTAAAAGAGAAGAGCATGCTGTAACCATATGATGACGGTGAGTCCGAACAAGGAATGTCTTGGGCAAGCCATCGGGGCTGGTCGCAATTTTGGCTCAAGGTTCCGAGGGGCCGTCGCCGGCCTCCCAGGGCTCCCCTCTGGCGTCTCTCGTTCCGCTCAGCTCTGCACATCTGCAGACGGCATGATGCGCCTGCGCACGTCTCACAGCGTCGGCGCGCTACTCTTGCTGCTGGCAGCGCGCGGCGCCCCGAGCGCCGGGTCGCCGGCGAGCGGGACGCTGGCCCGCCCGACGGTGGAGGGCTCGGCGAGCGGACGCCCTCGCGAGCCGCAGGCCGAGTTCGGGAGGCGCCTGTCTACCAGCGGCGCGCAGTTGCTCAAGCTCTTGGCGGGTGATGGGGTCGACAGCCACAGGTTCGGAACGTCGGTGGCCGTGAGCTCCGACGGGGCCCGCGTGGTGGTGGGGGCCGTTTACTACTACTACGATGACGTCCAGCGTGAGCCCATTACGTTTGGCTCCGCGTACGTGCTCGACGGTACCACCGGCGAGAGTCTGCTCAAGCTTGTGGCGAGTGATGGGCCTACAGGCGACAGATTCGGAATCTCGGTGGCCGTGAGCTCCGACGGGGCCCGCGTGGTGGTGGGCAACGACAAGGACGACGTCTATTCCGGCTCCGCGTACGTGCTCGACGGCACCACCGGCGAGAGGCTGCTGAAGCTTGTGGCGAGTGATGGGGCTGCACGCGACAATTTCGGTGACTCGGTGGCCGTGAGCTCCGACGGGGCCCGCGTGGTGGTGGGGGCCACTGGTGACGACGACCAGGGCACCAATTCCGGCTCCGCGTACGTGTTCGACGGTACCACCGGCGAGAGGCTGCTGAAGCTTGTGGCGAGTGATGGGGTTGAAGGCGACCTGTTCGGTTACTCGGTGGCCGTGAGCTCCGACGGGGCCCGCGTGGTGGTGGGGGCCTTCCGTGACGACGACCAGGGCGCCGATTCTGGCTCCGCGTACGTGCTCGACGGGGCCACCGGCGAAAGGCTGCTCAAGCTTGTGGCGAGTGATGGGGCCGCAGGCGACAGTTTCGGTTCCTCGGTGGCCGTGAGCTCCGACGGGGCCCGCGTGGTGGTGGGGGCCTACCGTGACGACGACCAGGGCTACGATTCTGGCTCCGTGTACGTGCTCGACGGGGCCACCGGCGAGAGGCTGCTGAAGCTTGTGGCGAGTGATGGGGCTTATGACGACTGGTTCGGTTACTCGGTGGCCGTGAGCTCCGACGGGGCCCGCGTGGTGGTGGGGAGCAAACGTGACGACGACCAGGGCTGGGGTTCCGGCTCCGCGTGCGTGTTCGACGGCACCACCGGCGAGAGGCTGCTGAAGCTTGTGGCGAGTGATGGGGCTGCACTCGACTATTTCGGTTACTCGGTGGCCGTGAGCTCCGACGGGGCCCGCGTGGTGGTGGGGGCCTACTATGACGACGACCAGGGCTACAATTCAGGCTCCGCGTACGTGTTTGACTTCACCGAGGCAACAACTGAGACGACCACTAAGACGACCACCAAGACGGCCACGACGACCACCGATACGGGCACGAGTTCCGCGACGTCAAGCACTACTACCATCATCAAGACAACCACCGAGACAACGAGTTCGGACACGTCAAACACCACAGCCACCACCGAGCCATGGGGATTCATTGCAGTCTTCGCTGGTGTCTTGATCTTGTTCTTGGTCTGCTGCGTCGCGCTGGGCTGCCTGGTGAAGCGCAGATGTCCTCGCCGTGGCAGGAGCCCAACACCCGAGCGCGACATTGACAACGCGGAAGTTGAGGACAACGAGTACAACGAGTCGGAGCAGGTCGCGGAGATCTAGCACGACACGGAGCCTGATGCCTTCCTATAATCTCCCTCCCTCCTCCTCGCTCCCTGACGCGCCGCGCAGCTATCCCTCGCAATACGCTGGAGCAAAGCACAGTTTTTTGCCTCTTGGGGCCCGGAGCAGGAGTCGGAGGAGGACGCGGAGATCGATGAGCACGAGTCGGCGCACCGTGTTTAGCACGACGCGGAGCCTGTATCATCAGGCTACTCTGCAGAGCGACACTACGCCAACTCACCTTTGGCTTCGAGAAGCCACGTTTTTTCCCAACCATCCAAGCGCTCTCACATGGCCCCAACGTGTCTGCGAGAGGGCGGCGGAGTTTCATTGTTGGCGTTCGAATGCTCTTGGTCGGCGCCTCAGTATGTGTCAGGCTGCAATGCTGGCTTGCAGGTGGTCCGCCTGCGGCCAGCCAAGTGAATTTGATGCATTTCTTCACTTCCAAGAGCTGGTTTCTCCACCTTGCGCGCACATCCTTGGGCAATCGACCAGATAAGTGCGCGCCAGGCTGATGCGTCTCCGTCGGAAAATATCAATGTCATGTCCTGTTGTTCACTCTTTTCACTCCAGGGGCAGCGAGGAATTTCGCTACGCTTTGTGTGCGCACCCTTGGATTACTTACCAGGTGGGTATGCGCCAAGCGATGCGTCTCTACCAGTGTGTATCTACCTATACGACCATCCTGCGGGTGATGAGGAAGTTGGGGGGGGGCAGCAATGGGGAACAGTGGTGATTGTTGTTCTGACGATGCCTGTGGGGCGGAGTCTAGTGAGTAGTGTGATGGTGCACGTGAGCGTGATGTGATGTGGCGATGTCGGCGAAGCGCACTCGACATTGTCGTGAAGCGCTGTCCCAGGAGGATTTCGAGACACCAGCCTGGGTAGTCGAAGGCCAGACTGTCAGATTGGATTGGGCCCCCAGGGCCAATCTTGCCCGGCCAAGCTGGATGATTTGGGTTATTCGCCAGACTGGATTCGCGTTGGCTCCTTCGCCAGATTGCCCCCGTTTGCCAGATTGGGCTTGCCAGATTGGCGCCAGATTGGCTTCGACTACCCAGCCAGCGGGACACTGGCGGGACACCGCGGGCCACCGGCCGCCGGAGGAGAAACATTTGGTCCGGCCGCGGCCCAGCCACAGGAGGATTTCGGGACACCAGCGGGACACCGCGGGCCACCGGCCGCCGAAGGAGAAACATTTGGTCCGGCCGCGGCCCAGCCAGGAGGATTTCCTTTCGCGCCCACGCAGCTTCGCCTCGCCCGCACGCACGGCACGCACGACACGAACCCTGAACCGAAATCGATTTCTTGGTAGGGGGGGTCTCCGTTTCACCTCGCACTCACCCCCCAACCTCCCATGTATATATATATATATATATATATATACAAGAGCCGGACGGTCATTGACATCTAACAGTAAGCTGCGAGCTGCAATGCACCTGTGCAAATCCCACACGCGAAAAGCACCCTGGGACCTTCACACCCCCTGGAACCTCCATGGGACCTGCTCGGCCATGCTCGGCCCTTCGAGGGGCCCTGGGGGCCCGCCCCTCGTGGGCTCATGGAGTCCGCTCGTCGCGAAAACCAGAGGAGGAGAAATTAGGGGTGCGATGGGTGACACGGGGTGCGTTCGGTTTGCTTCGGCCAACCCAGGTAGCCCCTGAGGCGACGCCTGCCCTACGCGCGGGGCGCCGCCTAGGGGGCCCTGGCGCACCCCCCAGTGCCCCTCGCACCCCAAAGCATCCTGCTTGAGCCAGCCCGTTGCCAAGAGAGGCAACGATGCTGCAAACAAAAGAGCAGAGGCCACAGGCCAATCGGTGTGTGTGTGTGTGCGCGTGTGTGTGTGCGTACCAAAGCCATTTGGTTCTGGTTGGCTCAATGTCTTCGAGCTCGCGCAAACGTCCACGGTGGGATCCAGATGCTCGCTCGCCATGGGGCGATTTAGATTCGCAAGCAAGTCCGATTGAGAGGAAGTCTAGCTGGGAGACGATCGGACATGAGGGCCCTCCAGAAGGCCCACCAGACGACGGTGATGACATCGACGACGCTATGTGGAATTTTGAAGAGTTCATTCTTCGACTGTATGCATCAACAAAGCTGAACGCAACCGATCTTTGTGTGCTGTCACACTATGCATATGAAGCAGGTTTAAAGAGTGATAGGCTGGCATCGTGGAAATGGGAACCTGGTAAGCAATCGGGCAGCTACATGCGTCATTGGCGTTCAGTGTTGCCGCGGAGTGATAATATCTCAGAGTTCTGTCATGTGGAGACCCCTCAGATTCGAAAGACATCGCGAGAAGTGAGATCGATTCCTTTCGCTCCATTGCATGAACTGCTCGAGCACGAACCGACCGATGATGCGGAATTGGACGATGGTAAATCAGACCCCAACGAATGGTCCTCTTTGTTCAGTGAGCATGTGCACCGTCATATTGAAGATGGCGAAAGAGAGGTGGAGCCCATTGCACTGTATCTGGATGGGGTGCGATTTTCGAAACAGACGCAAGCTGGCAAGTCGGAGACCGCCATCGGATTTTGTATATATCGTTTAAGGTATCGCAAAAGGCACCTCTTGGGTGTATTGTCAAAGAACGAACATTGCGAATGTGGCTGCCGTGGCTTTTGCACACTGTATCCAGTTTTGACGTGTTTGGCTTGGGGGTTCGAGGCTGCAGCAAAAGGCACTCGCCCTGAGAAGAGATGGGATGGAACAGATTTTGATCCCGATTCCGCCCTAGGCAAGCTCGCAGTGGATGCCCCGCGGATGAAGAAACGGTACTTGCTAACTCAAGTCAAAGGCGATTGGGCAGAATACGCCAACGCGTTTGCATTTCCATCTTGGTCATCGTTCAATGCACCTTGCTTGTATTGCGAGGCGAACAAAAAACGATGCTAGACTTTACAGGCGTCACTTCTGGACGCCATGGTTGGGGGTATCACCCTCCTAACTGGTATGAGGAATCGTGTCGGACCTGCGAGCGTGCCATCGCTATCAGGGACGAAGAGACTAAGAAATTGATAACAGAAAAGGGCCAACTGCAATACTGCAAACGGAAAAAAGCACTCGGACACATACTAGAGCGAGATGTTCCAGAGTTGGGGTTAAAAGCCAAAGACAGGCTCGAACCAGGCCACTCCATATGGGACACTGCCGAATTCGAGGAAACGCCAATACCTCCCGAGGGTCTTACTGTTGTTTTTTTGGAGAACGAACTACGATAAGCGCAGACGGCTCGACGACCGAGCGTTGCACAGGAATCCTTTGTTCAGTGAGCGCGTGGGGATCACCCCAGAGCATCTCCACATAGACATATTACATTGTTTGCACCTCGGAGTGTACCAGAAGTTTGTGTGTTGTGTAATCTGGAGCACGCTGCTGCATAACCCTTGGAAGTTCGAAGGTTCGCAATCCACTGTTTTCGATTTGTGCCGCAGGAGAGTGTACAGTGATATGTGCGCTTGGTTTGCTAGGACGAACGTCGATCCTGGCCTCAGGCTAAAGCGCCTGACGGACAAGATGCTCGGCGCGCAGTTTTCGCAAGAATTGAAAACTAAGGGGTGTGAAACGCGCGTGTTGGTCACTTGGGCAGTTGATTTCTGTCGTAGGATGGATGGCCGAATTCCGAATATTGATATCATGTGTAGGGCAGGGGAATGCCTTGAGGAGTGGCAGACCATCGTGAGCACGTCTGGTCGCCAGCTCCCTGATCCAGTGTGTGAGCGACTTGTGTTTCTTTGTTTGCGGCACAACACGCTCATGGAACATTGTGGGCATGATCTGTTGCCGAAACATCACGCATGGGTTCACTTGTGCTTGCGCGTGAAGCGCGATGGTAACCCAAAGTTTTACTCGTGTTTTTTTAGACGAGTCCTTGAATAAGATCTTTGCGACTATATGTCAAACGTCCCACCGATCGACATGGGAGACAATCATTTTCGAATGCATTCGTTTGTTACCGCTTGTCACCCGGGATTCCTGGTTCGCTGCACTGTGAAGGACTGGCAGAGCCATCGGAGCCCAAATAGCAAATAACGAAATGGCTAAGGTTGGGGGTCCTCATCCTCCGCTGTCCTCCGTCTATCCCTCGATAACTTTCCTTGCTTGTACCGCCTCCCCATGCACCCTCGTCCTAATGACATCCTATGGCTGCCGCCGTCCCCGTCTGAGCCCCAGCCTCTGGTAACGAAATACCGCCGCGGCTTGGCATCGAGAGGCTGCGAGCGTGTCTCGCTGGGTATTCACAGGCAATCGGTCCAGTTCGTGGGGCCCCCTTCCCACCCCTCGCCCAGACCCAAACTTACTTCAGGCTTCTCCAGGAAAGTTTTCGGACCCCCCAGGCCACCATCCAAAACATGCAATATCAGAAAAACGCTGCCATAGGGCGATGGCCGAATGCCACAGGCGCCAGGTAGGAGTATACATGGTTCCTTGGGTCCGCCTCGGCCGCTCACCGCGTGAGGGGAGTGCCAAAATGAGCTCACAATTCATGGATTGGTCATTGCATTCAGTTGAACTCCTTTGGGGGCAACGAAACGCGTGAAGGGCATGCCACCAATTGCCTCTCTGATTGGGAAAGCAACGACGATTGTGATGGCGGCGAGGCTGCCAATAGATGGTAATGATTCTGCTGGTAACGACGGCGATGAGGGCGAGGATGCGAGACGATGGTCACTAAACTTCGCGACGGCTCACTGATGCGGATGGCACTGGCATGGAGGGAGGGGGGAGGTCAGAAGACAGAGAACGGCGGGAGGGGCGTGTGAGCTAGGACGGCAACAACGAGTTCTCGAAAAGTAAAGGGGGGAGGATGAGAAGGAGAAGGATGGGGAGGCGGATGATGAGGAGGAGGGCGAGGAGGAGAGAGGGAGGAGGAGAAGGAGGAAAACGAGGAGGAGAGAGGGAAGAGGAGAAGGAGGAGGAGGAGGAGGAGGACGAAGATGAGGAAGAGGATGAGGAGAGGAGTAAGATGAGAAGCGCGAGGAGGAAGACGAGAAGTCA